AAAGGAGAGGTATACTCAATGGAACTGAGGAATATACAGATTAATTTTTCTTATTATTTTGGCTCTAAATGGAAATTTTTTATGTCAAATATATACAGCCGGATTTTCATAAATTTCTCCAAAAAACAACTTGAGAAAACTGTTCTTTTACTTTTGTCTGAACACAGACAATCTATTGCCATACACATAGTGCATGTGAACGTAAGTGTTTCCGGAGACTGCATAACTATGAATTGTGTGCAAAGGGGCTCGTGTCACGTGTCTGCATGCACAATTTTCAGTACCCTATCCTAGTGCCTGGTAACACAGAGTACAATTTTATAGTTTTATTCAGTGGACTTAAAGTCAAGAAGCCATCCCAAGAATTATTTACAATTCAGTAACTGAATGATTATCTGATCACGATACATCGTAGAGCTATTCTTACATCATGAATGCTGATACTGTGCATCTGGGTGGTAACCTGGTAACTTTTATAAATCTGAGGTTTAAATCGGCATATACGAAAGGAACCAAAGCCTGAAGAGTGTGGTGACAGCGGGGTTTCTACCACAGATGATTTGTAGTTTCATAACGGGACACAGGAGAACAAGGAACTGAGAGATATCTGAAGAAATGCTTTAAAAAACCGAGTGTACACATAGCCTATAAGGCAAAATCTAAGTTACAAGTGTATTCAACACCGGCAACTATGTTACGAGAGGTAATACTGAGTCGCATACACGTGAGACGTCGGAGAACGGTGACCACGTACTACTTCCGGCCGAGCTGACCACACCGCGCGGTGGCAGGCGTTCCCACGTGTCCTCCCACGGATCGGGTTTTACAAGAATTTCGCCTTTCTCCCTGGACTCAAAGTCCAATCGCTATCACCCTGAAACAAAACCCGGAACTATGCTTCTGTCCTTTTCCCTAAGGAGGGGAGAAACCTCATCTGCAAGCGCTGCGTTCCCATGCGCCACCGCAACGGGGGCAGCTGTAAGCCTGCGTGTCTGCAGGGCCTTCACTTCACAGCCAAGCACCAAGGATGCCTTTCTCGCGGCCTTCTCCGTCTTGAATAAAGTATATAATGGGATTTAACTGAGTTCTTAGAAAGCCCCGGAGTTGGCCTCAAAACATGCTCGTCTGGGTGACTGTACCAACCGACGCCAGCACCCGCGTCCACAGGAGAACGTGCCGCCCCGAGGAGCCTGTCTGGCCGGCGAGTAGGGGGTCCGCACGGAGTTAAACGGACACGTGGCCTGTGGCGGCCGAGTTCTTAGGAGACTGTGAAAGCGGTGGCGCCGCCGGGCCCGGGCGCTCACCGGGAGGCACCGACGGGGCGGTCGGGAGCCGGGGGCTCCCGGGTCAGTGGCAGAGCGCTGCGCGTTCTCACAGTGCTTTGTGATGCCCGTTTGCAGACGGCTTTGATGTCTCTGAATCCCTTGACGTGTCTGATAAGTGAAGCTTATGCAGCCCTGCAGGAAAATTGAGAAAATGGTGAGAAAGGACATACTGTTGCGCGGCTGCGCAGACGGCCAACAAGGCAGTGTGTCCGGTGTCACTGAGGAAGCTGGGAGGTGCTGGCCAGGCCCCTTAAGGATGAGCGACCTCTTCTCCCCACTGGGGGCGCCCGGGGGCCTAAGCGGTAGACAGCGGTGTCTCAGGAAGCCACGCCTTCTCCACAATTCTGCACAGCTCTGGGGCCCCTGCAGGCTTCCGCTTTCTTCAGTTCACTCCCTCCCCCACCCCCACCCCCACCCCCGTGTCCCTCCCGCCCCCCGCCCCCGCACCGATCCCAGGAGCACGCTCTCTCACGCCTCCTCCCGCAAGCTCATCCAGACAGACCCAGTGTGCTTCCCGGGGGACCTAACCCGACACAAATATGATGGCGTTCTTGTTTTAAAATACACACATACAAGTATACACACAAGAAAACACATGGAAAGACATACCAAAATATTAAGCATGTCATTAAAAAGAAAAGCAATGGAAAACATGATCAAAAAGAAAAAGACAAGAAATGGCAAAATAATAAACTGAACATAAATAATATTCCAATATTCAAAGATAGTTCACAGAGTAAGAAAGTATCACTATCTTCTAAAGTTACATTAGTTTCCTTCTGTATCATACATCAGTCACTCACATAATGCACCTGACATACACAACTGTGCCCTCCCGGGGATAAAAAGTAGAAGATAGTTCATGTGGCACCAAAGCTCTCAGCACTTACTAATAAAGTGAAGCACAAAGATATTCAAGAATATATAACCAGTCCATCTATGGAAAAGATTTTGAGGAAACATTTTTATGAGGCTCAGACCTTTGTTGGCACCTCAAAAACATACTTGGATGAGGTTTTTTCCCCCTAAGATTCCAGATAGCTATCTACCTGGCAGTTAAGCAATTTTACATCCCTCTTAAATCAACACAGCACTCTGAATTTTAAAGTTTCTATCACCTGCATATGTTCATAAAAGAAAAGCTAAAATTGAGTCTGTGTATGATGGATGAATGGGAAGGAAAAAAGAAATCAATCTAACATAAAAAAGAGTTCTGATCCCAGGAATGGCCAAACCACTGAGTGACAACAGGAACCCACAGCTGCTGGGGAAGCGTGTTTCAACACGGCCTGCTAGAGAAGGAACTAGGCGGACAGAGAACCAGCGGGGTAATCCCGCCCGAAGCAAAAGGGAATCCCCTTTTAGGACATATTTCCAGTTGTTACTTCTAAAACTCGGGGGCAGCACAAGCTACGCATCTTTAAAAAAAAACTACAACGTCTCTCTGTGCGGATACAGTCACCTCCACCGCCATCCAGTGTTTGTTTATATACCCGGAGTACACCAGGTACTCTATGAGACAGACACTGTCATTGTCAATGGACATAGCACCAGAGGGGAAAAGCCTACAAAAAAAAGAGGGGAAAAAAGGAGACAGTTAAATTTTATAATCAAATTACGATTCCCAGTGAAATTAGACTGAAGATCTCAGATGAGTCACACATTATTACATATACTTAATATGGAGGATCTTTTTCTAGGTATGATTCATGTCCTCCTTAGGCATTCCAAAGAGTAACAGAAAACATTTGGACAAAAAACCCTTAAATCCATCTAGTGGTTTTACACAAGTCTTGATAATTCTATTGCCTATTATGGTCAAAGGGCCAACACAACATACATGACTTCACCTTAGGTTAATGATACTTCCCTACATTAAAAAAAGCTTCTTTAGAAAGATGATATCCAGAATACTTAACTCAAAACTAAGTTTACAGTAATTCATCTACAGCCGTCTCATGTCATTGACTAGTCAGTGGGAATCGACCTGACATTATGGCTAACTAACCTCACTGATGCTACCACGGGCTTCAAAATGAAGTTCTCACTTGAGACATTTGGCGGGGAGAGCTATGGATTCCCACGTCACCTTACAGATTTTTACCTTGTCGGTATTATGAAAATTTAGGCATGAAAATCCACAATTATCCGCTGCTTCTGCTGAAATGAGATGTCACTTTCACTTCTAGGCCACTATTTCACCAACCATCCCCTCACAGGGTGAACTTAAAGTAAAATACATATGAGTAGATAATCTGAAATCTTTTTTCCTTCCCAAAGGTCATCCCTTCAACCACAGAGGTTGGAAGAATTTGGTTGGGTGAGAAGCTTCATGTTGCTCAGAAGGCGGAGGTTATCTGGACCTTAATCAGTACGGGGCCTATGGCAACCACTACAAGCCACAAGAGAACACAGACTATAAACATTCAAATGATGTCAAGTTAGGTAAACGACCTAATGTTAGGAGTCCCTGCAATAAATCGCTGCCTTTCCCTTCTTTTATTATAAAATTACACACTCCAAACCCAAGAGGGTTTATACAGCAAGACAGTTTATACTGCCCTGGTATTCCTAAAATATAAAGCCTGATGTATGTTTAGTACTAATGTTGAAGTAAGCATGGAAAACACATTTGATAAGTTACATTTATTCCCTTTATACCTTAGCCAAACCTAAGAGTTTTTTAATACTGTCACAACACATGTGACTCATGGACTACATGATTCAGGAATGCCCTCTCCCATATTAATGACAAGAACACTAATATTTTCATCCTGACTTGTTTGGCTTACGGAAGAGAATTATGGATCAGCTTGATATTGTAAACTCCAAGCCTCAAAAGAGATCTGCAACTAAAAAACAGTAAGAGGTGTCGTTACCAAAAGAGAAGCTTAGCCCGTTATTACCCTCACCTCACCACAACCACCATCGTCTTAATGATAAAAGAGCTCATTTTATTGAGCCCTTCTGATGTGCCAGGACTATGCTCAGGCCCTTACAAGAAATATTTCAGTTAACATCCACAACAAGAGAAGAAGGTATTATCACCATTTTATAGATAAGGAAGCCGAGGCTTAATGAAATAATTTTACACAAGAGCACAACCAATAAGGAGTGGGTCAGAAATGTGACCTCTAAGGTGTTACACATCAGGAAAAATGAAGAGATGAAGACTTAAAATCAATTCATATGGCAAAATTAAAAATTAGTAGAAAGCGAGAAAAATACCCATAAACCTCAGGATTACCTAGGGCCTTGAAAAGTTCTTCTCGTACAGCAGAGGTGAATTTTCTGACCAGACACAATGTTGTCACAATAGCAAAAAGCAAATTGTAGGATAATACAATATAGAAATTTCCCAGCCAATTAAACCTTCCAAAGTCTCCAAGTAGATCAAATCTAGTGATTCCTGTTAAAAATAAATAAAATAGCCCTTAATAAAATCAGGTACAATATATTTAAATACGTTACAAAATAAAGTACAAAACAGATCAAATTCCATGGACTTTCTCATTTCTGTTAGTAGGTATCCTAGTTGAAATCCGTAATTGTTACCCTGGGGAACAACCTCAACCAGCTCTAACCTACTCTGTCCGGGTGTCACGGTCTCTTCTTGGAAGCGGCGGGAGCTGGAGCGAACACCCCTGACACTCGGCACGCTTACACCGACAAGACATCCACTGTGCCGCTGCTCACGGGGAGAAAGCACAGCGTGCTCAACTGAGTCTGGAAACAAGAGTCGTGGAGTCGTGGCGGACGAGACACCTGACAAACTTCAGGCTTCGCACCTCCCCACTGCTCGGTCCCCCTCTCCATGCAGGTCCCAGGTCGAACGTCACCTCCTTAGAGAGGCAACTGTCCCCTCTACATAAAACAGCCGGACCCCTCCATGGCCGGCTATCCCAATGACGTTTCTTTGTAACACAACACTACTTGAAATAATTTCTTTTCCTTTCTGTCTTTGCTGCCCACCTTCCCCACGGGAATGTAAGTTCTATGAGAACAAGGACTTTGTTTTTTTCACTCCTATGTTCCCAATGCCTAGAGCCATGCTTGCCCATACTTAATAATTACTACATAAACGAATAAACTAACAGGGTGATTCTTTTCTAGGGTAAGTTAATAGGGTAGTTCTAATAAACTAAGAGGGGAGGCAGGGGAATATTATTAATCTGAACTGGATGCTCCGGGTTTGTGGAGTACAATAACAAACCTTGAAATGCAGGATAGTTATATACATTGAAGCTATTTAAATTCACCTAAACTGATTTTTAAAAGCAAGTCTTGGGGCACCTGGGTGGCTTAGTTGGTTAAGCGTCAGACTTCGGCTCAGGTCATGATCTCGCGGTCTGTGAGTTCGAGCTCCGCGTCAGGCTCTGTGCTGGCAGCTCAGAGCCTGGAGCCTGCTTCGGATTCTGTGTCTCCCCCTCTCTCTGCCCCTCCCCTGCTCATGCTCTGTCTCTCTTGCTCTCAAAAATAAATAAAACATTAAAACAATTTAAAAATTAAAAAATAAGTAAAAACAAGGCTTAAATAAAAAAAAAAAAAAAGTCATCCTATTCAGTGATAATGTACCCTAGGCCAAATACTTATTAGAAAGAATGTGTGAATGCCAGGAATTTTTCTGACCACTGGTAAATAAATAAGTAAACAACACGCAAGTAGTCAAGTGACAGATGATGGGACTGGTGACAATCTTCAAGGAAGAAACTGAAGAGCCACTTGGGGCCTATCATGTAAAATTTTAACCATAGAGGGCTGTATAAACAAGATCATATTACCTTTCTTTTATGGGTGGCCTAAGGATTTCAGGAGTAACCAAACTCCATTTCATTTTATCAGCTGACTGTTGAACTCAGCTCTCACCCCCACCAAAGCAACCCCATCACCTATTATAGGGACGGCTCTACAAAAGCAGGGCAGAGAGAAAACAGGAAAACCTTCATATCCAAAAGTATCACAAAAATAGGACGTTTCAAAAAGTATTTCTTTAACAGCCACACTTACACAGGGCCAATGGACAATACTCTATCATGATATTTTAGAGAGAAGATTAATGAAAACATACGATAAAATATCATTTTAAAGAAGGTGAAGGGATAGGGCACCTGGGTGGCTCAGTCAGTTAAGCATCCGACTTCAGCTCAGGTCATGATCTCACAGTTTGTGAGTTCGAGCCCCGCACCGGGCTCTGTGCTGACAGCTAGGAACCTGGAGCCTGCTTCAGATTCTGTGTCTCCCCCTCTCTCTACCCCTCCCCCGCTCACGCTCTGTGTCTCTCTCTCGATAATAAAATAAACGTTAAAAAAAAAAAAAAAATGGTGAAGGGACCCAGACCCCAGCAGAGGACGCAGCACAGACCACACATCAGGAGTCACAGCAACAATCACAGCTGCTGCTTCTCAGATAAAAAACTTGACTGTGTTAAGAGGAATACATATCTAATTATACATTTTATTTTTCACACTAAGTACCATTTAATTTAACCTAGGAAGTTATCTGTAGACAGGATACAGTCCTTCCAAAACACACTTCAGCGATTTCAGCCCAGGCTTCCCAGATAATTAGTTTATTTGATGTTTAGGACCAAACTCCTTTGAGAATCTGGTCAGAGCCATAGATCATCATTCCACAAGAAAAACACAGAGATGCACACAGACACGAAATCTTGCATATGATGAAATGATTGACGGAAAAAGTGACTGATCATAGAATAAAACCCTGTGCAGATTCTCCAGAAGAGTCTTACCTGGTTTCAGAACATTTTACTCATATACCATCATTCACAAAGAAAAAATCAGAACATATATACCCAAGATATGCATATCTAATTATTTTAAAACTATATATGTACTACTCACTGACTTTCACATTACACACAAAGAACAGACTTTAAAAATAATACCAGTAAAGATAAATATGAGTTCTCACGGTTTTTTCACAGCCCAGTGACTTACTTCGTGAACCTATGGGGACAGACCACTTTGGACAGCATGGGGACATGCTAACCAGTAACTCCGCCACCACCCTGGACCTGGCCTATGCACCACGGGGGGGACAGCAGTGCCACACGCTGAGTACAGGGGCAGTGGAAGGTATGTGACATACAGCTTCTCGGCAGATTCAACTTGGTACCCTGAGAGTCAGGGCCAAGACTTCATATGAAATCCCAGACAGAGAGCGATCTCCTTATGACATGTTTGGTCCCAGGGACATCTCAGGTTGACCTCACAGACATACAGGAGCCCGTTGCTACAGTGCAACAAAGCACTAGACAAAATATTAGGTTATAGGGGCTAGTTCTGAAGACACTGCCGTTTCAAATTTAATCTTTTAAATATCTAACTAACATGGTCCGACTAAAAGATCACTCTGGACAACACATGCAGCTCTTTAGTCCTGAAAACCCCGTATAAGACTGAACCTTAAACAATAACCCCTAAACCAACATCTGAGAGGCTATGTCACAGCAATTATTAAATTGTAAAATGTACTTTTTTATTAAAAATGCCAACACTTAGGAAAAAGTAACAATACTTAAAATTTTAACTTTAACATTTATTGTAAAAATGTATAATACTTCAAAATCTCCATTTCTGGAGAAAGATATAAAAGCATACATATTAAGGCAGCTGCTTTGGATTCTTTGTCTCCCTCTCATTCTGCCCCTCCCCTGCTCACACACTCTCTCTCTCTCTCTCTCTCTCTCTCTCTCAAAAATAAACATTAAAAACTCTTTTTATTTATTTTTTATTTTTTTTATTTAAAAAAAATTTTTTTTCAACTTTTTTAAATTTATTTTTGGGACAGAGAGAGACAGAGCATGAACGGGGGAGGGGCAGAGAGAGAGGGAGACACAGAATCGGAAGCAGGCTCCAGGCTCTGAGCCATCAGCCCAGAGCCCGACGCGGGGCTCGAACTCACGGACCGCGAGATCGTGACCTGGCTGAAGTCGGATGCTTAACCGACTGCACCACCCAGGCGCCCCTAAAAACTCTTTTTAAAAAAGCGTATTAAGGCAGCAAAATTTTAAGATAATACTAACAAAAAAAATCAATTATCAAATGTTATGAACTCTGCTACTCAAATACTGAAATGCTCATTCCCATTCAAAAGTTATTTCTGTAAAAGATAAGTAAAATATACACCAGCTAAAGGCCTACTTAGTTAAGCATGGCTAAGCATAAAGCCATCTTATCGGTGAATAAAATGATCTTCATGACAAACCACGCGTCGGTTCCGCCCACTAAGATACAGTTAAAAACATTTTATGCATAATTCCTTGAATAATGAACTTATACCTTCACAAGAACCTCATTTCAGGGAAGACCAACACGAATCATGAGAACCCACCTTCGTTAGCCCACCTGAGATGACTCTGATTTCTAGCAAGCATACTCTGGTTCCTCACTAGCATGAAGACGTGGAAAGCCTGACACGCTTAAGGGATCATTAAAGCAACTTTATCATTAAACCATGTGTGCTGGCATCCCACACAAATGGCTGACATGATACCCATGGCTTTAATGTAAGACTGCCAAAAGGAACACACACATCTTGTCATAAAAAAAATAAATTTAGAAGTTAAGTGTTCTCTGACAAAACACTGGGATCGACACGTTTTTCCCTCTGGACTCTCACAACGGTTAAATTATTATCTTGACGAGGTTTTCAAATTCCCTTCTCTAAACCACACTGTTGGAATAAACTTATACCTAAGGCAGGCATCAAATAATAAATATGACCTAAAGGGTACAAAATAATAAAATATCCGATCCTTTTTAAGCATCATTAATTTCAGGGTTAATGTATATAGGCCCATTGCCAACTGTTTTATTTATTCAAAAATAAAGTCATTCTAAAATTGAAGAGAAGGTCCACTTCTGGGGTGGAATAGAGAGGATCCTATTAAAGCAAAGACTTCAACTTTTGACTGTTCTTACTTTGCAAGTAGATTTTCATTAAATTACATCAACTAGGAATACTGACTTCAGGTTTGGGCCAAGATGGGATAAAAGAGACCAGATTTTCCCTTCATACCTGAATTAACCAAAAAAACCTGGACAAGACATACAAAACCTTCATTTGCAAGACCCTGGACATTAAGCAATAAAGGGCAATAACGCTGACAGACAAGCAACAGGCGAGCCGGGCCTTACCTCTGCCACAGCTCCGGCCTGAAGAGGCCTTCCGGGCTGCAGCACAGAGAGGAACAGGGACAGGGTCCAGCCATCTTGCTAAGTTGAAGAGGTGCAGTTGGAACCTGGGGACCGCAGGGTAGACAGAGAGTTGCACGGGGTGGGGACCCAGATGTGTAGAAGAAGCTCTAGAGTATTCAGCAGGGAACGGGCCCACTCATGCTCACGGGTAAACAACTGAACCAGGAATGACCCAGATGACAGAACGAGT